CCCGTCTCGCAGCAAACGTCACTCGCCGCCGAGAGGTTTTAAAGAAGCATGTTTGTGGGGGCCACGGCATTGCTTCGATTGCCTCGGCCTGTCGTTTCTCATCTTGTGTTCTCCGATTCTTCGCAACTGATATGGTCTGAAGCTCCCTCACACACCGCCCTGGTTGCAGGATCGGTGCAGACTTCTGCTGATCGAATGTTGATTGCGAGCGGCCCCACAGTTGAGCACGCTCCCTTCGTTCGCGTCAGTGGTGTAATACCAGGGCCCGTGTCGCAACAGAAGTCACTCGCCGCCGAGAGGTTTTAAATAAGTATATGTCTTCGCGACTGTGGTACCCACAACTGCATGGTTGGTCTTTCGCCATGATAATCTCTATATACATATATATATATATATATATACACACATATAGATATATATATATATATAGAGAGACTCCAACCATTCTGGGGTGTTGGGCCGTTGTTTTGAAGGGACGCTCCCCGCGTTCCTCCTTCGTCCCTCCCTCTCCTCCCCCTCCTCCCTCCTGCTTGTTTTTTTTCACCCACCCAGTACAGCGCTTCGTGGCCCCATAGGGAACTCCACCGAAACCTCGAGTGCCACCGTCCGCACACGTCCCGAAACACCCAGTTTGTCATTTCTACATACCCAGCGCATCGTTTCGTGACCCCATACGGAGCTCCACCGAAGCCCCCAGTGGGACCGCCCGCGTGCGCCCCGGAAACCCCTTTTGGCATTTTCACCCCCTTGTACAGCGATTCGTGGCCCCATAGACAGCTCCACCGAAGGCCCCAATGCCCAGTCCGCACGCGCCTCGAAAACCCAACTTGGCAGTCTCACCCACCCAGTACAGCGTCTCGTGGCCCCATAGGGAAATGCACCGAACCCCCCAGTGGTATCGTCCGATGCGTCCCGAAAGCCCCACATGGCTACTTCACCCACCCAGTACAATGCCAACGCCCGAATGCGTCCCGAAAACCAAAGTGGGCATTTTCACCCACCCAAGACATTGCTTCGTGGCCCCATGGGGAACTCCACCGACGACCCCACTGGGACTGCCCGCGTGCGTCCCGAAAACAAACTTGGCATTTTTTCCCACCCAATGCAGCGCTTCGCGGCCCAATAGGAAGCTCCACCGAAGCCCCCAGTGGGACCGCCCGCATGCGTCCCACACGCCCAATTTAACATGTTCGCCCACCCGGTACAGCGGCGGGTGATCCATAGGGAACTCCACCGAAGCCCCCAGTGGGACCGCCCGCGTGGGTCCCACACGCCCAATTTCGCATTTTCACATACCCAGTACAGCGCTTCGTGGCCCCATAGGGAGGCCCACCGACGGCCCAAATGTTACCGCCCGCATGCGTTCCCCCCCACCCAGTACAGCGTCTCGTGGCCCCATAAGGAAGCCCACCGAACCCCCCAATGGGACCGCCCGCGCGCGTCCCGAATATCCAATTTGGCAATTTCACCAACCCAGTACAGCGCTTCGCGGCCCCATAAGGAGCACCACCGAAACCCCCAATGGGACCGCCCGCATGCGTCCCACACGCCCACTTGGGATTTTCACCCACCTAGTACAGCGCTTCGTGGCCCCATGGGGAGGCCCACCGACGGCCCCAGTGGGACCGCCCGCATGCGTTCCCCCCACCCACTACACCGCTTCGTGGCCTCATAGGGAACTTCACCGAAAAACAGATTCACAATTGCGGTGCCCACAACTGCATATGGTTGGGTCCTCCGCTTGGATACTTTGACTATTTTTGATTTTTGGGGATGTTACTTTTGTTCTTCGTTCAACCTGCGCCTATAGGAGGACATGCCCGACCGAAGGCTGGTCTCGCGGACTGGGGGGGCCGCATTCATGCACGTGGTGGGGCCCGTACGCCCTCTGCGGGCTCTCCCGCCGCAGCGCCTGCTTCTTCGGACCCTTCGCGGAGGCGGCGCCGGCCGCTGGCACCGGCCGTCGGACCTATCCCCTCGTTCTCGCGCTGTTGTCAGGAGGAAAAAACACACACACACACACACACACACACACACACACACGCACACACACACACACACACACTTACACACACTTACACACACTTACACACACTTACACACACACACACTTACACACACACACACTTACACACACTTACACACACACACTTACACACACACACACACACACACACACACACACACACTTACCCCCAGGAAAATGTCGGAAAATATGGGAAGTGGGGGGGAAGACAGAAACCCAGAAAATATGGGAAAATATAGGGGAATCCTTTTATTTGTGTGTATCTACTTGTGTGTCCCAGGGCCCCGTACGAGCCGACCTTCGCAGGGGCACCGTTCCCCATCGGTTTATCCAAGGGCAAGCTGGAACACTACGTCCGCGAGGCGTGGCGCAGCTTCATGATGAGGGACGCTAGCACCACCACGGTTCGCAAGGAACCAGTGGACTTGCCGAGCCTGGATGTCAAGACACTCCGGGACTTCGTAAACAAACAGTCCAAGTTGCAACGCACATGGGCATGGCGGTGTGTGGTCGGGGCTGAGCCTAGCCCGGATCGCCTTCATCATATACATTCTGATGTACCTCATGACTGCGAGGAGTGTGGCGTCCCAGCCACCACTCGACACTTCCTGTGGGAGTGCAAGAACACACAAGAGCAGCGGGCCCAGACAATAATCCACCCGCACATTTTGCCAAATATGGTGCCTGACAGCGAGCGGGCAGCCTTACTACTCAATGGGTGGTTTCGTGCAATCTGGGATCCTCCAGCGGGTGTTTCTCAAGCTGATTGGGGTGAACACCATCATCTTATTCGTCATCTGTCTTCTCGCATCCTCGGGTACAAAATGCAGATCCTGCAGCCGTGCTACAACATCCTGGCAGGCCGCTGTGCCTTCTAGCTCCCGCTCGAGTGGACCAAGGCCAGAGTCAGCCTGGTTCACGCGCAGAAGGAGCAGGGCCCCTTCATGCTGGGCCTCCTGGAAGGCCCTTTTGTCGCCACCGCTGGTCTCCCCCTCGGAGTTTGGGCCAGACCCCCCCTCCACTTCCCTTTGGGAGACGCCCGAGGATCGCAATCAACCCGCAGAGCAAGGATGGGCATCGTTCCCGAGGGTACTCCAGACTTCGTAATAAAGGGAGGGGGGTCTCATTTCGGGGGGGGATATCTTCCAGGCTATCTTGGAGGGCCTGGGGGGTCTGGGGACGATGTTTTGGAGGGGTCTCCCACGGGGGAGGTCTGAAATGGCTTGTCTTGGAGGGTCCAGACCCCCTCCCTTATATTGCGAAATCTGGAGTACCCTGGCATCCTGGCCCCTCCGGCCCCATCCTCGGCCACCTTCGCTGGCCGACCTCGCTGGAAGAACGTTCACGTGGTCCCCCCAGGCCCCTGCATCCTCACCGCTCACAGCCGACGCGGAGTGGCAGGTCGGCCCTGCCAAATCAAGGGCGTTCCTGCGTCCTGTGTCTGCCGACCCATGCCTTCTACTCCAGATTTCGCAATAGAAGGGAGGGGGTCTGGACCCTCCAAGACAAGCCATCTCAGACCTCCCCCGTGGGAAAACCCTCCAAAACATCGTCCCCAGACCCCCCAGGCCCTCCAAGATGGCCTGGAAGAGACCCCCCCCCGAAATGAGACCCCCCTCCCTTTATTACGAAATCTGGAATAGGTCGACCCTGCCAGATCCAGGGCGCTCTTGCGTCCTGTGTTTGCCGACCCACGCCTTCTGCATTCCTATGGTTGGCATCGTGGCCCGCGGAAGGGCCCTGGGCCCTCTCGCGTGTCTTCTCCAATCCACCTCGGCTGTATGCTGCGGGCCGGCTGCAGGGCAGCGGCATGCGCGGGCTTACCCCAGGGATCCCGGGGGGCGTGCTCCCACTGGGACCAGCAAGCGCCTTGAGAGAGCCGCACCGCGCGGGGGCGGCCGAGAGCCTCGGTTCGCGCAGCGGCGGCACCCACAACGGCATACGCTCGGGTCGCTCGCCAGGATAAGTGTCGCCCTGCTGGGCATGCTGTCGCTAGGGGAGCGAAGAATACCATCAGCATAAACATTCGGGGGTCCGCGCGGATTTGTTTGATCGGCGTTGGGGCCCCCTGGCGGTGCCTCCGGCGCCGCCCCTGGCGCGCTCCGCGTCCCGAGTTGTTATGTTTATGTCATTCTTCGTTCCCCCAGCCATTGCCCTACAGTGGAGGTCCATGCCAAGAAACACCCTGCTTGCCTCGAGGGTGCCCTTGGTTTCTTGGGCTTGGATGGTTCTTCCATGGAAGGCGTGGCGTTCCCACACCAAAAATCAATGTACGTCCTGGGGTCTCAAGGTTGGGTTTCGTGTCAGAGGTTTCTTGCGGACTGGCCTCCACTGTATTCACACCTGCGTATGATTGGGTCGCTCGCCAGGATCATTGTTGCCCTGCCGCGTCGGGTATGCTGTCATCGCCCTGCTAGCATGAGTTTTCTCCGGTGTGCTGCGTTTGTCGGGGGCGGCCAGGAAAGGGGTGATGATTGGGGGGGGTGGATATCTTGGCGGGGCCATGATATCTCCCCAGATTTCATGGCGCCTCTTCTTATTTCAATACGTCCCTGGCCCCCCTCTGGGCTGCGCACATGCCGCCGGCCATGATTTGCGCCTCGCCCTCTTGGACGCCCCCCTCTCGGCCGCCACCGAGAGAAGAGAGGGCGTCGCACGGCCGGCCAATACCAGCGACGAGCCCAACATCGCTGCGCCTCCGTGAGGCTGAGGTCGCGTCCAGTACGGCGGGCCTGCATGACCTTGGCATCGCTCGGACGTGTGCATTTTTCCTTCGGCGAGGGCCATCGAGGAACATCCTTGACCATTTGGCGAAAAAAACACGCACGAAACCGACAAGGAACACCAAAAAAATGGACGTCCGAGCGATGGCGAGTGACGACCCATAACCTCGTCGAGCGAGAGACCGCCAAGACGGCCCTCTTTGGCCGCCCCCGATCCTGCTCCGACTGCTGCAGCCGCGCCCCCCCCGGAGGTGGCGGGCTCGCCGTGGTGAGCTATTAGCGGCGGCGTGCGCGAGCCGGCGGCGCAGGCCAGCGGCCCAGCTGCGCCTCCCCTCGCGAGGCCCACGATCCCGGTGGCATCGAGCACGAGAGCACCCCGAGCCCTAAGCTTCAGTCGGGCGTGTCCCCCATATAGGGGGATTTTCGACGAAAAACAAAAAAGTACCCCCAGAATGCTCCATCGAAGGTAAAAAAACATTCAAAAAAGAGTCCCCAGGCTATGTTTGGACTCTTCTTTGATTATTCTGGGGGTACTTCGAAAATCCCCCTGTAGTGGGACAGGCCCGGCAGAACCCTAACCCTGATGGCACGGTGAAGACGTGGCCTCACTGAAAGGGGCACGAGCAATGACATGAGCATAACAACTCTGAGGTCCGTGCGGCTTTTTCTCGGACCGGCGCTCGACCCCCTTCCCTGGCGCGCTCCGCGCGCCAGGGGGGGCCCAGCGCCGATTCGGGCGGTTTGGTCTGACACATCTGCAGAAAAAAAAAACCCTATGCCTACTGGTTTTGTGCCCTCCTTTCTTAGGTCCCCTCCCAAAGGGTTAGGAGTCCTTGGCCAATCGCAGGGTTAGCTTTAAATGGGGGGTGGGATGGGCTCAGGGGGGGGGAGGCGGAGGAGGAGGAGTAGGAGGACCAGTGGAAACCCAAGAGTCATGAACGATGCTGGAATGAACCCCCCCTCCAAGCTCCCTCTTCATAGGTCCCTACAACGGTTAATTTCCATAAGGGGAACGAAGACAACCGTTTGAAGATCCTGAAGCGTGTCACAACATTGTTCTCGGGATTTCAACGCCACGTATCAACCTGACTGCTGCGTCTTGACGATCCAGAATCGTGCCAGAACGCCAATTTCTGGATTTCAACACAGCGAATCAACATAACTGTTGCGCCCGCATCATCCTGAATCCGTCCAAAACACAAAATCTGGTACGTTGATCATGGGAATCCGCGAAACTCTTGCAAATGTTTGAAACGAATCTGCGCGGCGCTATGGCGAGAGCCATATTTTGAAACGACCCGCCCTCAATCCGTGAAACGCTTGCAATTGTTTAAAACGCATGTGCGCGGCGCTCATGCGAGAGCCACATCTTGAAAACGACGCGCCCTCAATCCGTGAAGCTTGCAAATGCTTAAAACGCATGTGCGCGGCGCTTAAGGTGAGAGCCGCAGGTTGCAAACCACCCGCCCTCAGTCCGTGGAACTCTGGCACATGTTCAAAACGAATGTGCGCGGCGCTAAGGCGAGAGCCACATGCTGCAGACGGCCCGCCCTTCACCTGTGAAGCTGTTGTCACCGTTTAGGCTTCCGAGTTACAAGTGGAGAGGAAGTCTCAGGCGAAACGCCCGGCCCGCCCCAAAAACTGGCCTCGGGGTGCGTCATGGAGAAGCTATACGTAAGGAGAGGGAATGGAGGCGGAGGCGGAGGAGGAGGAGGAGGAGGAGGAGGGGGATGGGCTTAGGGGGATGGGCCAGAGGGCCCGGGGGATGGCCCGACAACAGTGGGGCTGCGCATTCAGGGGAACGAAGAACGACATAGACAACAACTCGGAGGTCCGCGCGGATTTCTTGCATCGGCGTTGGGGCCCCCTGGCGGCGCCTCCGAGATTTTATGATTATGTCATTCTTCGTTCCGTGTGGGCCGGCGCGAGCCCGCACTCGAAGATGAGAAAACGCCATAAGCATAAACTTTTGGAGCTCCGTGCGGATTTCTTGGATTTGCGCTGGGATCCCCCTGGCGGCGCCTCCGGCGCCGCCCCTGGCGCGCTCCGCGGGCCAGGGAGGGGGGGCCAGCGCGAATCCAAGAAATGCGGGCGGAGCGCCAAAAGTTTATGTTTATGCCGTTTCCATTCTTCTACGCAAGGACATGAGGTAATGTTTGTTGACCTCGGGGGGCGGTTTCTGGGAAGCGCCCGCCACCTGGACTCGCCGTGCAGTCACGGAGCACACGCTCGGCTCAGGCTTGGATCGTGCGCCTGTCGCAAGCGTGGACGCCCGTGCAGTCTCTCCCCACGGGCTGCGGCGCCCTCCCCACCGCCAACATACAGCCAACCCGCATAGTAAAGATGGGCAACCTTCCCAAGGGTACCCTTCCTTTCTCCCATCCTTGTCGACTTTCGCTGGCCAACCTCGTTCGAAGAACGTTCAAGTGGCCCTCTAAGGCCCTTGCATCCTTACCGCGCACCCTTATGATACGGGTCGGCTGTGCGCAGAGTATGTGAACAAAAACACCGCGCAAGGAACAGTGGCCATGATTCGGGGTAGGTTTGCGAGCGTGAGACGTTCAACGTTGGGGCGACGCCCAGCAGACTCCGCATGTCACAATCAAACTGGGAGGTCTGATTTGGGAGGGGGTCTGCTTGGAGCTGCCTTGGAGGGGTCCGATGGGTCTGGGCAGAAGGCCGCCCTTTCATGGTTTGTTCGGGGGGGTCTAACACTGCCCGTCTGGGAGCGTTGTGACCGCAGGGGTTTAGTTCTCCTGGAAAAGGGCTGGTTCTCCGGGCAAAGGGTTGGTTCTCTGGGTGGGCTTCTGGATCCTCATTCCGGCAGAGAAGCTGATTCTCCGGGTGCGACCCGATCAGTGATTGTCAACATTCAGTCGATTTTCAAGTTCTCAAAGACTCGCCCAGGATTTCGCACCACGCGTAGCCTCGGCTACCCGCATAACCAATTCTTCGTCATGATCCTTGCATGTATAATGGATCCATCGTCGTCGTAGTACTATTAGTAGTAGTAGCAGTAGTAGTCGTAGTCGTAGTAGTAGTAGTAGTAGTAGTAGTAGTAGTAGTAGTAGTGTACTAGTAGTAGTAGTAGTAGTAGTAGTAGTAGTAGTAGTAGTAGTAGTAGTAGTAGTAGCAGTAGTAGTAGTAGTGGTAGTAGTAGTAGTCGTAGCAGCAGTAGTAGTAGTAGTCGTCGTCGTCGTTGTCGTCGTCGCAGTTGCTATTGGAGGTAGTAGTAGTAGTAGTAGTAGTAGTAGTAGTAGCAGCAGTAGTAGTAGTAGTAGTAGTAATAGTAGTAGTAGTAGTACTCGTAGTACTAGTAGTACTAGTAGTACTAGGAGTACTAGTAGTACTACTAGTACTAGTAGTAGTAGTAGTAGTACTACTACTACTACTAGTAGTACTGGTAGTAGTAGTAGTAGTAGTAGTAGTAATACTCGTAGTCGCGGTCGTAGTAGTAGTAGTAGTAGTAGCAGCAGTAGTAATAGTAGTAGTAGTAGTAGTAGTAGTAGTAGTCGTAGTCGCAGTAGCAGTAGTAGTAGGAGTAGTAGTAGTAGTCGTCGTTGTCGCCGTCGTAGTTGTTATTGGAGGTAGTAGTAGTAGTAGTAGTAGTAGTAGTAGTAGTAGTAGTAATAGTCTACTAGTAGTAGTAATCGTAGTCGTCGTAGTAGCAGTGGTAGTATCAGTATCAGTAGTAGTAGTCGTAGTAGTCGTAGTAGTAGTAGTCGTAGTAGTAGTAGTAAAAGAAGTAGAAGCAGTAGCAGTTGAAAGTAATAGCAGTAACCGTAGTAGGGGTAGGATCAGTGTTAGTAGTAGACCTGGTAGCAGTAGTTGTAGGAATCGGAGCAGGCGTAGAAGTAGAAGAACTAGTGGTACAAGCAGTGGCAGCAGCAGCAGCAGTAGTAGTAGTAGTAGTAGTAGTAGTAGTAGTCGTAGTAGTAGTAGTAGTAGTAGTAGTAGTAGCGGTAGTAGTAGTAGTAGTAGTAGTAGTAGTGAAGGTGGTGGTAGTAGTAGTAGTAGTAGCAATCGTATTAGGAGTAGTATTACTAGAAGTAGCCATGGATTTAATAACAGTACTTGTAGAAACAGTAATCAAAGGAGTGGTGGTTGTGATCGTGGTAGTGACTAGTGGCGATCGAGGTAGTAGTAGTAGTAGTAGTAGTAGTAGTAGTAGTAGTAGTAGTAGCAATAGTAAGAGTAGCAGCAGCAGTACGACACATCGACGGAGCACATGCGAAAACTACAACACGTATTAGAGACGCATACGAAACATACCCGACGCGTAAACAGCACGATACGAATTTGCACGACAATTCTACAGCGAATACAGCACTTATTGCGCAACAAATGCGGAACACGCAGACAGACCTACACGTAACAAGTGCACACCATACACACAACATACGACACATGTACCGCACATTCATACAACGCGGTTCCGCGACATTTGTGACACGCATACGCAACGTAGACAATGAGCGAGCGACATGTATAAAAAGACGTGCGAACATAACGTGCACGAAGAGTATACGGCAAGAGTATGCACATCACACGCAAGAGGGAACGTAACCAATCGCAACGAATGTGCTGGCGCATACGCAGCGCACACACATAGTAGTTGTACTCGCCGTCGTCCTCGTGGTAGCCCTTGTGGTATCAATGCTACAGGTCAGTAGTAGCAGGAGTAGTAGTAGTGGTTGTAGTAACCGTAGTAGTGGCAGTAACCGTAGTTGTTGCAGTAGGAATCGCAGTGGCAGTAGCACGAGTCGCCGTAATAGTAGTAGTAATCGTAGTCGTAGTAGCCGTCGTAGTCGTAGTCGTAGTCGTAGTCGTAGTCGTAGTAGTAGTAGCAAAAATAATACTACTACTAATGGTTGTGGTAGTACTCGTAGTAGTAGTAGTAGTAGTAGTAGTAGTAGTAGTGGTAGTAGTAGTAGTAGTAATAGCAGCAGTGCGAGTAGTAGCTAGCAGAGGCGATAGTAGTAGTAGTAGTAGTAGTCGTCGTAGTGGTAGTAAGTGAAGTAGGGGGTGGAGCCGTAGCAGTATCAATACTAGCGGTAATCGTAGTAGTGGTGGTTTGGGCGGTGGCAGCGGGAACCGTAAGGGGAGCAGTAGTAGTAGTAGTAGTAGTAGTAGTAGTAGTAGTAGTAGTAGTAGTAGTAGTAGTAGTAATGGTAGTAGTAAGAGTAGTGGTAAGAGTGTGAGCAAGCGTAGACGTAGAATAAGTACTCGTCGCAGCAGTAGTAGTAGAAGTGAAGTCGGTAGTAGTCGTAAT